TTGAAAATAAACGAAACTTTTGCATTGACTACTGCAGCTGCAGATTGAGTAGAAAGTCAGTATGGTGGTTTTCAAAGGCGCGGCATGATTGGTAGAAACATAGTTCAGATTCAAATATTGCCCCTTTTAACAAAAGCATTTCTGACATCAATGGGTCACCAGTAAAGAAGTAGGGATGCCAATACTTCGAACCTAGAGCTTGTTACCAAACAAACATCTACTCGATCTTCACGACTGCTTCAAATATAAAACGGGATACGTTACCAAAGAGCCTTTGCAGTCACCAGTAAAGAAGTAGGGATGCCAATACTTCGAACCTAGAGCTTGTTACCAAACAAACATCTACTCGATCTTCACGACTGCTTCAAATATAAAACGGGATACGTTACCAAAGAGCCTTTGCAGGAAGCAATAAAAACAGAAAAAGTTATGTGCGAAAAATGGAAGCAAATAAGTGAAAGAATAATCAAAAAGGTTCGACATGTCAAGTTCCAAGAAAAGATTTTCCAAGTTAAAAAGATGCCAAAGAAAAAATAATAAACCTACCGGATATGACTATGTCTGATTAGGACACGGGCGTGGTGAATGGACTTCGCCAATCCAAGCTTGAAAACTTGAGTCTGGAGACGTCTCTCAAGAAAGTCCTCAACACGCAGACCGAGAATGTAATCGAGCTTCATACGATCTTCAGGAAGTACACCAATGCGCACAAGACGGCGCAATAGGGCGTTTCCTTCGAATAGTCTCTTAGGATCCTTTTCTTCCAGAGTGAGCAGTTCACGAGCAGCCTTACGGACCTTAGCCAAGGTGTACTTCACCCGCCATACCTCACGCTTGTTCTTCAGGCCGAACTCTCCAATGAGTTTCAGCTCCTAAAAATCAATAATTGTGAGATGACTTCCACAAACTACTCACATCATACCATCATACAAAAAGTCCCAGAGGTTAAGAAGTCTTCAGACACAGAGCTCACAGATTGTAAAAGTAGAAGCTCCCTTTAAATGTGCAGCAAAAACATTTTGAGAAATTTAAACGCAAATCAACCCCGCGTATTACATTGATCAGGAGGCCCGGGATTGAACAGACAAACTGAAGCAACAGACCGAACTTTGGGTCCGGTATTACACGACGCACACGGCTTCTCGTAAAACATAAACAAAAATTTTTATAAAACCGACTTTTCCGTTTTCGGCTAGCAACATCACACAGACAGAAAACGTTGTCGAGGCTTACAAAAGGTCCGCCGCTAGTTTGCCCCTTTTCGTTCAAAGAATATGAAAGTGAAATGTAAGGAAACCGTCGATACACATAGTTCGTGCACCTCGTACCTTGCTAAGATACCTACTAACTTTTCATATCGCTGCTTCATCTCGCGCGGTTGATGCCATAAAGCTTACAAGATTAAAATAGACCTAATAATATAACTCCCAACCGTAGTCATCATAACAACCATCCGTGTTTCTAGCACGGCAAACAACTCCAACCGCATAGGGATTCAAAAGCCTGATAAGACCGCAATGATTCTAGCCCATACATAAATTGTAGACATTCGACGGAAATGAAAAGGTATTCAGTAAAAAAGTAATTCCAGCCAAAGGAACAAAAAAGAAAGGAATCGACTTAAATTTGAGCTCATTTACCTGGTCCAAACGCTCCTTTTCGAAAGGACGGCGAGGAGACTTTGTTACCTTCGAATGTACTGTCTTAATTCGAGGCATGGTTGACCCTTAATCATTAAAATAAAGAAGCTCTACTTCCATGAATAAAAAAACCCCTTCCATCGAAGTAGGGAAGCGACGTAAACGAGGGGCAACGGGAGATGAACTTAGATGCATCATCGACACAAATTGCCAATTATTCACTTAAAACACTTCGGCGAAGACCAATCGAATAAACAACTAGGGAAAAACACAAAAACGGACATAGGACCGCCAAATCAAATGCTCTCCACGAACAATGTTGAGATACGGTAGCGGCATTTTATCTGCTTGAGACCACTGCTTAATTGCACCTCCTGTTCCTTTACTTTCACGTCGTCGGGAATTCTGACAGGCGTTACGGGAACATCTCTTTCTTTCATATGAACTCATTCAGCTTTATCATAAGGTAATGAAGTTTACATTTGATTGGTAAGCATTAATTTTTCTATTCAGTCCGTGAACTTCATTCAGAAGTCCTTTGAGAAAAAGAAATTATTCTTTGATTTCTGTAGTTTTGTTTTCCAAAGTAAATTCTCAATACAAATAGTATTATATGGTGAAGTAAAAGCAATATGAATGGCCAAGAGTATGAGCTCGAAAAATTTATTTTCAGATGAACCTTCCTGATCCGTATCTACCTGGAGCAATCAGTTTATTCGAACAGTTAGATAAGAAACTTGTTGTGGTGCTTCGCGATGGGCGAAAGTTGATCGGATATTTGAAGTCTATAGATCAGTTTGCTAATCTAATACTCGAAGATGTGGTGGAACGGACCTTTGTTGACAAGTATTACTGCGACATTAATCAGGGATTTCTTTTGATACGTGGTGAAAATGTCGAAATTGCTGGAGAGATCGATGAATCCATTCCAATGATTCACCAACAGGTTCGCGATTGAGTTTACTATTTTTTTGCTTAGTTCCTGACGTAATCTGAACATCTTCATCATGATGGAGCGGAAAGGAATTATAAGGATAATTAGCTCGTCGGAAACCTGGGAGCTCGGAGCCAGATTAGGCCATTAACCTGCATGCACTAAACTAGTGACCTTCCTTCGAATATGCTCCATTTCATTAGAATTGTTAACGGATAGAGAGTATGATTCCCTGAAGGATTTCCTGCGTTTTGCCTCCCCGCGTTCGACTTCCATTCAGGATCGCTGTGACTTTCAAATGGTTTTTGGCTCCCTCATTTCACCGGCACATCGGCCTCATTTGGGTTCGCTGACTACCGCACTCGTCTAACCGTGAGAGGATAAACGTGCAGATTCGACTATCGGCTGGTTCAGTCGTTATTCAAATCAGCACGTTTATCCTCTCAGATGGGTCTGGTTATGTTTAAATGGGACGAAGGGAAAGAGGTTTGATTGGGTTGGTGGTGTTAATCCAGTGATCGATACTGAATCATCCATGAGGTAGCGATGTAATGTGGCACCCCACCTCCGTTTCATTGAAATTATTACAAACTGAAAATTGAAGCGACATTAGTGATGAGGATCTCGAGAATCTAATATCTTGCTTTACCCTATTGGTGGATGCCGACCTGGAGCCAAAGGATCGGTGATCATGTTTTTCTCCTTCACGGATATAATAGGTAGATAGTTACCAAACTCTGTATGTTATGACTTATACATCTTTCATGTAACTGGATGATTCGGTTCCCAACTAGAAATCATGACCATCCCTACCAGTTACGTTTATGTTCGTCTCTGTCCCCACAGTTATGCAATCAAATGTAATACGTACAACAATGCGTTCTAGACAAAATCCCATTAAGTGATCCGAGTGGTAACCTATGGCAGGGGATTTGCTATGCTCTGCCCGCAACGGAATTTCTAAACCTTAGATTTCTGACTCCAAAACCAATTGTAGTATGGGAGTAACGATTCAATATTTTTTGTGGAAATGAGTCCAGAATAATCCTCTTATGTTCTTCATGTTCGTATGTTTTGTATTCGTTTCCGTGGTTGCGGGCTGTCTGGTCAACTAGCATAGCAAGAGCTCTATAAAGCAAGCGCAAGATGAGCTTGGGTCCACCTTGAACGATGTTCTCTTTATCTCAGAAGTTTGGAGGAAGGAACAGGTCTCGGCAGTGGGAGTGGAAGGTGTTGACGAGTGGAAGAAAGTGGTCTGTACAATGTTCGGTACTGTCTCAGCTTTCACATCTTAAATAGAGGGCGAAACAATGTTGAATAACGGACTTCGTTATTTTCGTCATGATCTTTCGATATATAGTCAATGATAATGAGTAAATGGAGTGCTGGAAGCTCATTCGTGCTTTAACTTGATCCATTCTTCTTTTCAGGTCTCTGTGGAAGAAATTCAAAAGATTGAAGAAAGTTTGGCTGCTTCAAATTCAAAACCCGGTACCTTGAATTCTCATGGCAGACCTAAAGAGGAAGGCGACGATGGCTTCTAGACTTGTTTCACTGTAAACCATTGTTCTTTGAACCGATCCTCACTCTAAGCGCTCTCATCGGAGTTGAAATGTTGGGTTCATACTTTCGTTATCATGTGCAAATAATTAACTGACGTTATGGGTGCTCAGATGGTTAGAAATGAATATGTACATATGGTTATGTTGTTTTGTTGGAAGAGTTTGCTCTCCTTCATATTTATTCTGTTCAATCGATTTCTGATGAATTGCTTTGCATTTGATCATTGCTTTTCCTTTGATCAGTCGATCAAAAGAAATGTATTGATTTTGATAGGGTTATCGGCAGAGTAATCGAGCGATTATTGCAGTGAGTGGTTCTTGCCTTTGACGTGCTCACGTTGTTCTAGGAGCTCCGCCCATTCAAGTCTGCCCCCGTGCACTCTCTCACTCACCACCTCTTCTTGTCACAATAGGGTCGAGTCAGTTTGTGTTCATTACAGCGTGTTGTGCGCTTGTTTGCCTTGTTCTGTTCAGCAAAGTACCGGTGTGTTCCGTACTGATGAAACAGGATTTCACGGAGTAATCCAGAAGTTGTGTGTATGAAATTTTCGTAGTATCTCCTAAGTTCATAAAAGTAAGCACTCTGTAACGATATATTTTTGTTACAGTTGTTATTTTCTTTCGTTTAAGTACATTTGATATAATAATACCAGATCAGCGGTGTTAGGCCCAAGTGTGTGTCTGTCATACTTACACACCTGTCGCATTTGTTTTTTGACCTTTCAGCATTCCAGACACCTACGTAAGTACAGCTGTTCTACCAATAAAGACAGGCTGATAAAAACAAAACCGTTGCGTTTCCGTTCATAGTTAGTGTCTTTTTTTGGTGTAGAATTGGCTGCAAGACGAACCGAAATAAATCTTCTACGGCCGAATATTTATTTGCATTAAAACGCTGTCTGGTCTTGGAAAAGGGAAGTAAATAATCATCAAATTGCCTACCTATCGAGAAATGACATTGATCATAGTTTCAAATCACAATTTGCTCTAATTGGTATCATTACAGAAATTTCTCAGTCGGTGGCTATGGCTCCAGCACAGAAATTATACAACGTCGTGTTTGTATTAGGACCACCAGGCTCAGGAAAAGGAACTCAGTGTGTAAAAATCCATGAAGTGCGCAGTCGATAATCAGTGACTTCAGATATTGTACCACTAAAGACACCAGTTCTAGAATCTTGGCTTTATGCACTTGTCAGCAGGAGACCTACTACGAGCCGAACGACAACGTCAGGGCTCCGAATTTGGTCAACTGATTGNATCATTACAGAAATTTCTCAGTCGGTGGCTATGGCTCCAGCACAAAAATTATACAACGTCGTATTTGTATTAGGACCACCAGGCTCAGGAAAAGGAACTCAGTGTGTAAAAATCCATGAAGTGCGCAGTCGAGAATCAGTGACTTCAGATATTGTACCACTAAAGATACCAGTGTTCTAGAATCTTGGCTTTATGCACTTGTCAGCAGGAGACCTACTACGGGCTGAAAGACAACGTCAGGGCTCCGAATTTGGTCAACTGATTGAGAATCACATAAAGAATGGAACAATTGTACCCGTGGAAATCACGTGCAAGCTGCTGGAAAATGTAAGAAATGACTACTTCCGTCCGACTTTTTATAGAAAATTAGAGTTCATGATGAGTTCAACTGGTTCAAAGTGCAGTCAGCAATTCTTATCAGAGAACAATCGTTTGCGATCCGGGACCGATAGCCCCGTTGTAACTCCCAAATGCTATTTGTTATGCACGAAACATTTTAACGAGCAATATTCTCAGTTGAAACTGTGTTTAACAAAGCCAGATTATCTACAGATATAACCGTTTAGGCTATGGATGCTGCAGGTGATGCTAGAGGATTTCTAATCGATGGTTTTCCTCGTAACCAGGACAATTTAGAAGGCTGGGAACGGCAAATGAAAGGGAAGGTAAGTCTTGCAATGCCTATGGAATGCTGGCTGCAGCCGTACATTCTAACAATGTATTGTGCGAATGAATTGGGACTGCCGTTTACTGCCCTTCCCTTTGAATAATATGGCATCGGGAAAGTTTAACCCGTTTTCATATATTTCTCGAACACCGCCTGAATCAAGTCGTCGCTTTGATAGAGCGCTGCTTAGGGAAGGTGTATAGGATAGCGTGTGAGATCGTGTTGCTGGTAGGACTGTACTCTAGAAGATGGAAGAATTCAGGTATTCAGTACTTATTAGGGGTGTTATGAATGGCAAAGCGTAATTAAATTGGTCGTTTGTTTTCCATCAGCTGAGATGGCAGGGCCCTTGGCATTTTGCTAAGTCTGCTGCGATGCCAAATTATTCTAGTTGTTTTTACTCTTAACGAAGCTTCGAGAGTTCCCGAACAAACGAGTTCCCGAACGAATAAAAATAGTCTACCGGGGAAAATGTGGTTTTACATAGCACACACCCACATCGCGTGCAGTTAATCACGCTTAATTGTATCTGTTTGCTCAGTGAACACTAGCTTCTTTGATTCTTTTTTCGTTTTCATTTTTCGATGGCAGAAAAGTAATCCCCGTCATGAGAAGTAATTCATTCAGGTCGACGTCAAATTCGTCCTATTCCTGTCTTGCCCAGTAGATGTTTGTATATCCAGGTGTCTTCATAGAGGTAAGTGGTGGACGTTGGTCATTTGGTCAGTGGTTGTCCGTAGAACTTTTTGTCTCTGGGAATCTCAGTAGGTGTAGTTTCTAGGACAAGGTCGCACAGATGATAATGAAGAATCATTGCGGAAGCGAGTTGAAACTTATAACAATCAAACACTTCCTATAATTCAACATTACGAAAAACTTGGACTTGTCAAGGAAGTGCCGAGCGACAAATCTCCCGAAGAGGTATCCATTCGTATTCGCAATTTTTGAATCTTTTACCATATGTGCTCGCTTAACTCTTTTCATATCAGGTATACCTGGAGGTAGAAAAAGTGTTCAAAAATGCTGGTGTATGAATGGTCCAGCAAACACGATGTATATGATGTGAACTTGCCCACTAGATGCGTTTTACCCTACTGTAGGAAACAATTCACTCTATACTAGTGTATTCCGTGAAGGAGTACGTTTATAATAGTTAGTCTTTATTCGTGGTTCGTCCTTTGTACCTCTATGCATTGATCAAAACTTTTATCTCACTAAACAACAATAAATAAGTCAACGAACAATAGCAATCAACAATGGCAGAGTACACGAGATGTCCTGAAAAAGTGTAATGGAACTATTTTACAATCTGAGGTTGGATAGCCCAATCTGGAAGTGGTGTACTGTAACTCCACTTATCTGTCGAGTATTTAAGGCAATGGAGATACAGTTGAAAGTGTCCAGCTGGTACCTACATTTCAAATAACAACGCTGCTTCAAAGCTTCCGCGGAAACGTCACGTACCTCCTTTTTTATAACGTTACAGTTCAAGCAAATCGGATCATATGTCGGCCGGTCTTGAATTTGAAGGTCAGCAGGTTCCGGAACCAACTATAAAAACGCTAATAGGAAACATCACAGTGAAACAATATGTATTGATTCTGACAGCTGCCCTTTTGTTACACAACCACTTCAGATGATCGTTACCTTGACTGCTGATTGATTTTGGATGTCGTTTATGTTATAGCGTATTCGGCAATTTGGGTGTCGCCATAGCAACACATGACAAAAAACAAAAAGTCAACAAGAAAGGAGTCCGGTCAAAAATTTGACAGTTAGTAGCAAAAAGTCGATGAGAGACGCTCGCTGCTGGATAGGCATGCGGTTGTTCAATTACCTTCCCCGCATCACAACCCTCGCACCTTATACGTATATGTCGATGATAGTGAGGTTCCCTTACCCTGAGAATGTCTTAGAAAATCAAATAGTTCCCTATAGATCTTATAGACATGCAAGAACGGCGTCCAGAAGGCTAATCCACAAGGGATCTTTTGTGGGCGAATTTGGCGTCCAAATTGGGAAATGCTACAGGAGGCAGGTTTGGGATAGTATGGATAAACGATTGTTGAGGATAACAATCGGCAGGGACTGATAAAAACATTAGAAGGCAAGAGGCGCAAAATCCGTGGCCCTTGTCGTCGGGTTAGCAGTGGAACCCTGGCAGGTAATCAAGGGTTAAAAACGACCATAGATGCAGGTAAGAACAGTTAGCAAGAGAAAGGTTGATAGGGTAAGGAAGAAGGGGAGGGTCACCAAAACTTGTCATGCCATCCCTGTTAACAGTGAGTTAACCTGGTGGGTGATGTGGAATGTGACGAAATGGTCTGTACTTTGAAGGAGCGGAGATGTTCAAAACAGGCGAGGACTGTACAGAGATGGGCGGAGTTTGCGCGTAAGTTAAGCGGGTATGCGCGGAATGGTTCCAATCTGATCGGAAATGTATGAAGAGGGACAAGATTTTGGTTGGTGTTTCCAATCGATATAACTTAGACTTGTATTTTTCGCAGACTGTCACTGCAAATCGTGTTTTACAGCGCTAGGTGAGTATAGTCATGGAAATTGGATAATCACAGCTTCCGTTAAAAAAATTGCCATTCTAAATTTTGCAAACTATAATCACGCTCACTCACATTGACAACAGCACGCGTTAGAATATTTTTATAACCTGTTTTCACCCTTTCGGCCATCTGCCTTTGGAATTAACCCAAGAAAGAAAATTACCAATAAATTCAATCTCAGTTATCGATTTCAAAGTATAACGCATAGCACATGGGAGCTGGAAGACTAACCGTTCATTGTGTGTCTTCTGCGCTACTTTGCTCCGACTCTCTTTGTTCTGATTGACAGGGCACGCTTGAACAAGGGTCGATTAAACAAAACACTCAACCCTACAACTGCCCTGCGATCGCTCCTTATGGACAGCTAACCTACTAGGTCTACCTTCTCATCTGTAATTATGGTATGGTACTCGATAGGGTCTTTTGACGTTAATCAATTGCGTCCGGGGGGGGGTACGCCTCGGCATTCGACTTCCATTCACAATCGTAGTGGCGCGATGTACAAGCCAGGGCTTTTATTCTGTCAGACGAGTCTGGACCATTTAATCGTTCTAGAGGGATGGAAGGCTTGGTTGAGCTACCATGCGTGTGTGATAAAGCACCGCTTGCCCTTACTTGAGACATGGTTTTTTTTTCTGTAAATTTCGATAAAGTAATGAAGACAAATCCTACCAATATTGAAGTCCGACACATTGGGAGTTAGGTATACCACAGAGATCCCAGGCACAAAAAGTTCTTCACAAAGGGCGCTTTTAAATACTGGCTGAAGGATTGAGGCCAACGCCAACGGATTCTTCGACTATACATGCGGATTTGGAAATATTCAAAAAATTCATAACAATGAAGTCACAGCTGGCGAACCCAGAACCAAAACTACTTGCTCCTCGTTCTAGTCACTAACGGTAATTTCAATTACATTGAACTCGTTCTACCTCCTCATTAGCCATCCGTTCCATTTTTGCTTCATATTGTGGATCCACAGTTTCATGCCAGTTAGAAGAACAGTGGGCGGCACGTATGTCTTTACATAACTAGAAACAGTTACTCGATGAAATAAGATAAAATCAGTGGCAGCGGGTAAAAAAAAATAGGCAAAATCGAATGGCGAGCTGACCTGGTCGTAGGGCTTTCCATACTCGGCATTCTTTCCTTTCGTGATACCCCACGCAGTCGAGTTGTAGATTTGGTCACCCACAATAGGAAAACCTGATGAGGAACTTTTTTAAAGTCTAAGTAGGTAGACTAAACAGTAAAATTTACCCAAATATTGGGCATGTACACGGATTTGATGGGTGCGACCGGTTGTTATGCTTACAGAGAGCACGGATCGTTTCCCGTCAGACCATATCTTCTTGAATCGACTGTGGGCCGTCTTCCCGTCCTGCCGAACACACTGGATGCCCATGGTAACGACCAAGACATCAATCGGTTCATTGCATTCGATCTCTTCACTGAATAGAGCATATATGTCTAACTTACTGATATTTTACGCTCAGCCTCATGAACGAAAAGTCACTCAGTGCTTTTATCCTCCCAGACGAGTTTGAGTCTGGTACCAATTCACCGGCCCCGGAGAGGTGAAAGACTTGATTGGCCTAGACGGATATCGATCCGGGATTCGAAACCGTGACCATGCATGTGCATGTGCATGTGCGCCACTTGCCACTACACCATTTCCACCCTTGCATTAAACTATTCTATCATATATCTAGGCTATCCAAGGGAGAGCTCATTAGTTGGAGGCATTTCGGAACCAACACTCAGCACTTCCCAGCACTCGAATGGAAGCTTCTACAGCAGCCTGATGTCCGCTATGGCACTCATATCCGGAAGCTCGTCCAATACAATTCTACACAATCTTTGCCGTCACATTCTCGTCGAACCTTGATTTTACCACATTCTTGAAGAACTGCGTTTCTTTACATACAATTTTTGCGTTTTCTTCGCCTCCCTCCCCCCCTCCCCCCTTTGCACTGCTCTGGATTATTCGTTCAATTACTTGTCTAGAGCTATTGAAGGAACTCTAAGCGGCGGAAGAGAAAACAGCTGGAGAATTCAAATAAAAGCGTTCTCACATGATCACAAAGTAATTTAAGTACATTTCGAAATCTAGGTGGACTTACTCAGGGAATTCGCCTTCGACCATGCAAACGTACTCCTTTGACCAGTTTCCGTTTTTCAACGTTTTTTTAAACTGCAAGCAAAAAAAACTTCTTATTCTCTGCATCTCGAATTACATAAGCATAAAAAGCATACTTCAAGGTCAGTTTCGTAGTTCTTTGCAAACATCAGCACACCAGAAGTGGTTCTGTCCAACCGATGCAGAACTAAAATTTAACTTACTTGAGGAGGATCTTAGGTAAGAGAAGCCAACTGTAGAGTATATTCCCAAGAAGAGTTGACCCAAGACCGCTCAGCCAGGCGGGCCTGACTAGTAATAAACAAATAGTGCAGAAATTATACTCTTGATAGGAAAGTCCTCCTACTTTCCAGGATAGACGCAGGAATCCACCTATCTACCAAGACAGTAATTCCTATTTTACCAGTATCTCAAAAAAGAATATATAAAAATATCGATAAATAGATAAACACAGCCCTTCGCCTGACTGTTGTCTTCAACCATCGCTGGCTAGTTGGAATGATCTGAGAGGCTATATCGTCTAGGCTGATGGTATGCCTCCGAGCAAGATGATAAGTAAAACAAAACAATCAATCTTCAGCATACCTCGAAGTCCATGTCGATCGTGGTTGTACCGTAATTGTCCCAAGACCGTATGTATAGCGTATTGACCACATGCATGCACAGGCAATGACGGAGGCTTATTTATTACCAACAGGTCGTCAGTTTCCGCGATGATAGTGAGCGGTAAGTCGCGTACCGAAATAAGGGATCGTGAGCTGTCACCTATTGTTAAGAAAACAATGATAACTTAAAACATTTGCATCACTGGTTACATTGGATAGGGTGTGGTGCGTTAGGAACGTAATGGTCGCGTCGCGGTGACAGGGGCGTCGCGCGCGAAGGAATGTAGGAGGATGCAGCAGTAGGTAAG